TTCCCCACTTCCCCCGCGATGGATCCACCACCTCCCAGGCTGGTCAACAGGAAGAAAGTCCCGGGTTTCCTGACCAAAACAAGGTAGACTTCAAACAGACTCTTTGTAGGGAAAAGGAGCCAGCCAGAGAAACCCACCCTGGCCCTGAAACCAGAGCTAGTGAAAGAAACCCACCCTGCATCTGAGACCTGAGCCAGGGAAAGAAACCCACCCTGGCCTTGAAACCAGAGCTAGTGAAAGAAACCCACCTTGCATCTGAGACCTGAGCCAGGGAAATAAACATTTTATCTCTGAACTCAGAACCCAAGAAACGTATACTCTGACCCTGAAACCAGTGCCAAAGAAACATGCTTTGTCCCTAGGATCAGAGCCAGTAATATAAATATGCCCTGGCACTAAAATTAGAGCCAAAAGACTAAAAAGGACCAGTGAAAGAAACACAGTTTGGTGCTGAAATCAGAGCCATCTCTTTCCCTGACCAAGACACCAACCAATCCCTGAGCAGGAAAACTAAGGAATCCCTGAGCAGAAAATCTTCTCCCTAGAGAAACCCCGCCCCTAAGAAGCCCTATATAAACCCCTTTGCCTGCTCAGTTGTGGGCTGTCCTTTCCCACCCTGGTAGAGGTAGCCACTCTCCTGGGCTCCTCCCCAAATAAATCTCTTTCTCAGGAATCTTGGGTGATGATCTTCATTCACAGGCACAGAACAGAAGAACCTTTGCTGAGATGTCCCTTACGGGACTGCACAGAAAAAAACCCTGGCTGAGATGTTTCCTTAGGGGGGTGCTGAGCAAGGTGGAGCAGAAAAAAGTAACAACTTTCCCTCAGAGCCAGAGGAGATTGCTGCATTTCTGCCCCGGTTTCCCCTTTAGCAGAGTGAGCAACATCTTGGGCTGGAGAGAAGAAGCAGAGCTCTGCTGGGAAGCCCCCTTAAGGGGAGGTGGGTGGGCAAAGCTCAGATGTAAGGGCTCTCTCCTAGGAGAGGAGCAAGATTGCTGTATCTTGTGGGGAGACCATCCCCCACCACACCCCAGCTTCAGGTATAGCCTGGCTTCCAGACGAGTCCGGATACCTCTCCCTCCAGGGCTGAGCTGTTCTATTGCAGCTCCAGGCTCCAGAGCTGTCCTACTGTGGCTCTAGGTATAGCCTGGCTTCAGATAAGCCAGGCTACCTTTCCCTCCAAGGCTTTAACACTCGCTTACACTCGTCATGGAATGTAAGTGGAATGGCCCCATGGAAGGGCCGTTTCCTCTAGTTCTTTGCTTCAGTGAGACACAGCCCGTTTCTGGGCAGTCCAAAATCCAGCACTATCCAGACTATCTGGGAACCTTGGGCTTGAAGACTCTCCAAGATCCCAGTGTATACTTTACCAAGTGTCTCCGGTTGTCTGGACGCTGAAGTCGGAGAAGAGTGCTGTACAGATGTCTTCTTGCAAACAGATACATTGTTTCCTTTTCTCGAAACCACGACACACACTTGAAAGAAAACAAACATAAGCATATTAAAGTATGAATTATTAAAAACGACATTTTTACGTACAAAGAAGGCTTAAGGAGACCAACTAGAAAACACATTCAATTCAGGTGAAAAAGTTGAGGTATTTTTTTTTTTCTCCTGTTTTTAACAGTCTGAACTGATGAGTGACTTTCTTTGCTGAAACCATTTAATATCTCTTGCAAGTACTATTCAAGATGGGGAAGTAATCAGAAACAATTTCTCTAACACCAACCCAAATAAGGTCTCTTGACAATTTCTAGAATGCCTCATACAGCCCCTTAGGCAAAAACAAATGACAAAATCTTAAAAAAAAGAAAGAAAGAAAGAAAAGAAAACTGAAGGTTGTCCTACACAACAGTCCCTCTAATATTTCTTTAGCTGCCGTCACCATATTTTTTTCAACGCATTGAAAAGCTGCAATGATTAATTTGAATGTTTTATTTGATTGTTTCTCACTTGGGATTTTTTGGCAGTAAAAAAATAAGAACTTAATACTTTTTATTTTTTCACTGTTTTTTGGAGAAACAGTGTGTCAGTTAGCCCAGGCTGGACCTCCAACTTCAGACCCTCTTGCTTCTACCTTTTGAGTGCTAAGATTGTAGGTGTGTGTGCATCAAACTCAGGGCACTGGGCGTGCTGGGCAGAGCAGGACAACTTCAGCAACAGATGCTCTTGATTTCTTTCTTTCTTTTTCTTTTTTTTTGGTTTTTCGAGACGGGGTTTCTCTGTGTAGCTTTGGTGCCTTTTCTGGAACTCACTCTGTAGCCCAGGCTGGCCTCAAACTCACAGAGATTGGCCTGCCTCTGCCTCCCGAGTGCTGGGATTAAAGGTGTGCGCCACCACTGCCCGGCTCCTTGATTTCTTCTTATAGGTGTTTCCCCCCCACGCCCCCAGGCATGGGAATCAAACCTTATATGTACTAGGAAAGTGCTCTACATCTGAGCTGAGTTTCCAGCCTAGAGTTGTTTCAAAAACATAACATGAGGCGTAGTACTTGATATCACATGAAGCTTAGTACCTGAGGTGGTCTGAATAGGAACGGCCCCCATGGACTCATGTGTTTGAATGCTCGGGCACTATTGGGGGTGTGGCCTTCTTAGAGTAGGTGTGGCTTTATTGGAGGAAATGTGTCACTGCAGAGGTGGGCTTTAAGGTCTCATATATATTCAAGCCACATTCAGTGAGACAGTTCATTTCCTGTTGCCTATGGATTAAGATGTAGAACTTTCTGCTCCTTCTCCAGCACCATGTCTGCCTGTCCATTGCCATGCCTCCTGCCATGAAGATAGTATAATGGACTAAACCTCTGAAACTGTAAGCTAGCCTCAATTAAGTGTTTTTCTTTATAAGAGTTGCTGTGGTGATACTTTGTTTTCTAGGCCATTAGTTAACCAAAGAGGTCTGGAGGTCTGTCCAGACAGACAGGAAGTGATGTGGCTGGGCGGAGAGAGCGCTATAAGGAGGGCAGAGACAGAAGCTTGCCCCCTTTTTGGTCTGAGGAGTCAGGGAGGTAAGAGGTGATGGTGGCTGTTGCTTTACTTCTCTGATCTTTCAGCATTTACCCTGCAATCTGACTCCAGGTTTTTATTATTAAGACCAATTAGCATTCTCACTATAATTTGCCATGGACACGGTGTCTTTTCACAGCAATAGAAACTCTAAGACAGTACCTGATATCACATGAGCTTGGATATTAGCTGCTGTTTATTTTGAGCCTTGCGTTTGTGAGCCTCAGTTGTTCCCCTTTATAGTCAACAACAATACTTCATCCTCCACATACTTTAACAACACAGAATTTTCTTACTGACTGCTTGTGAGTATATATCCATGGCTCAGGAAGGACTTAATAAGATGAAACTTGTCACTTCTTAAGTTTATTATTATTATTATTATTATTATTATTATTATTAAATAATAGGATTTATTTCTCTCTATATATTTGTGATTTATTGTATACCAGGCATGATTCAGCATTTACAGCCCCAGCCAATCAGAAACATATTAGTGTGGCTGCTGCTCCCTTGGTCAATCATGTTTAGGATGACCTAATCCTCTCCTGGTTGTCTATAAAAGGAGCCTGCAAGCTTCTCTGGGGGTCATCGCCATTTTGTTGTACGGCTGACCCCTGCGTGCAGGAATTCTTCTCTTGAGAAATAATGCTCTTGCTTTTGCATATGTGAGTGGTGGTCTTTTGTGGGGTGATCTGTGGACTCTAACACCTAATACTACCAACTTGGGAGTTAGAATTTCAACACATGAATCTCAGGTTATGCAAACATTCAGTCCGTTCGTTGTATGTGCTTTTAGGATTTTTCTCTTGACCATTTATTTCAGTCCACCACCTCTGATTTTAAGAACCAATATGGTCTTTATCTCTTCTGAAAGGGAAACTCTCTGACCTCCTTGCTGCCTTGTCTTCTACTCTTCCTGGTCTCTTACCTCTGCATAGCACACATTACACTGTATGGACCCCGCCCACTCTCTGTAGTTATGGGGAGACTGAGAGAGCCAAACAGATGCCATAACAGGCTGCTCAGTCTTCTGTCAGAGATCAGGCCTCAGTTTCAGTTTCCTGAGACTGAGCAGCAAGCGGTTTCTGAAAGAATCATGAACAATGGACAATTAATCTTCAATGCCCCTGACAGCAGAGACGAGGGAGATATCAAGCCTGGGTCATCCCCTACAATATCTCAAGGCAATGACCAAATATGGACAAATCCTCTACCAAACTTGACCAAACTTGCCCAAAGATGGTAAAACTGTAGTACTAACCAATTAGAAATGTATTAACATAGTTGCCACTTGCTTAAACCAGTCCCAGATAGGATGACCTAACTGGTTTTAGAATTCCTTTAGCTGTGTATAAAAGGAGCCTGCCAGCTTCTCTCAGGGTCACCATTTTGCCTTTGTGTCAGATGTGTGGCACCAGCATGCTGGAACTCTTACTCTTGAGATAATAAATGCTCTTGTTGATTGCATACATGTCTGGTGGTCTTTTGTGGGACTTCTCTAGGACCCTAACATAGAGTTCATTCCATTTGGTGAGGGACACAAGGGTGTTGCAGAATATACATCTTATGTCTGTGAGATTTTCCTGTGATACTCAAGCTACAGATGTTGTATTCAATGAGTGCATGGTAGAAACCGACAGCTTTGTACATTAGCTGGTGGAATGTGATAAGGCTTATTCAAATCCTCCATTAGAAGTTCCCCAAGATTTGGGGGCTAGGGATGTAGTTCAGTGGCAGAGAATTTGTTTGGCATATGTAAGGCCCTGGGTTTGATCTCTGGCACTACAAAAAGAAATTGATAAAAAGTTGTCTAAGTTTTATGTATTTTCAATGTGAAAATTCAAGTTCACTACCAACATCCCCTTGTCATTCTGTGAGGTCAAAGAAACAGACTGACTGCACTGCAGGTCCTGAGCACAGGGACAATGATGGTCAGTCTGCATGTCCACTCTTAGGACACGGTGGTACTCAGGAGGTGCCAATTACTTCTGAACATGGGCTGAGGTATGGAGCAACTTGTCCAGGGTCTAGGCCTCCTGGCTGCTAGCCAAGAGTCTGCCAACAGTATCTGGTTCTTTTCACTTTCCAGCACTTGGCTTTAGAGTGGACTGGGGATTAATCTTCTCCCTGTTAATAGACATCAAAGACAGAAGAGGCCCAGTTCCTGGCATTTTTGTACACAGATTTCTCATAGATTTATTTCTGTGTCATGTTATATATAGACCTATTCACATATACCTTTCTTTAAATATACAATCTATATTCCCTTCCCCACCAAAATCACAAGAAGAGATCTAAATCCTTCCAGGATTTCCATTGGGTCTTCTAAGATGATTAGCTAACAAAGAAACATTTCTTAACATCTCAAAAATAGCTGTTCTCAGGCTCTGGACCCACTGAAGCAGCAGTGTTCCCAGGCTCAAGAAGACGAGAAAGGACAAGAAACAACTGTAGTGTGATGGGATTCTGGGATCATAGTGTCCAGCGACTCCCAGAATGGCAGACTGTCTTCAGAACTCTAAGGCTGGGATGAAGGTGGAGGACACCCTTCCCCATGGCTTTTCAGATGCAGCCCAATAGGCATGGGGAGGGAGGAGGAACTGCAGATTAGGCATGCAGGGGTAGGCGTGGTAGAGAACACCTGTGGGTGGTGATGAGCCATCACCCTCCAGAGGACTGCCAACCTGCTCAGGGACATGGGTAATGGGCAGAAACGGAGCTGAGTGAAGAAGGATGAACGCAAGCGCGGCAGGAAGAGGCAATGGAACACATAACAAGTACCAACAGAAAGTGACCGGTACTGGCCTTCTCCCTATAGAGGGTGTGGCTTATGCCTGGGGGTGGAGGAGATGAAAAGTCATGAGCTAGGATTATCAGCTGGCCAGGGGCACAGGAAGGCTCTCTGAGGACTCTTAAGGGGTAGGCAGGTAGGCAGCTGGGACCCCACATTCCCAGGGAAGAAACAAGTCCTTCCACTTGGACTTGGACCAAATCTTGGCGCTCCCTCGGAGTCTGGCAAGGGGAAGAGAGAGAGAGAGGGGGGGATGCAAGGGGTCTCCTAATTCCTGGAGGTCACCCCCATTCCCGACCCCATGCAAATGACTAAAGCAGGTGGAGCAGCCAGGCTGACATCCCTGAGGTAAAAGTGGGGTACCCAGACACAAGCGGCTCCCCGCACGGGCTCACCCCTTGCCCTTTGAGGCTTTCTTGCTGGGGCTGGCGCTGGTTGGTGCCAGGAGCTGGTTCTCTCAGCTCTGTCAGGTGTTGCTCAGGATCCTGAGACGTGGCTGCAGCAGCTGCTGCTGCTGTTGTGACTTTAATGGTTTTTTTAAGGTTGGCAACCTCACTCTCGATCTGCTGCTTCAGGCCCAGCTGCTGCTCCTTGTGCTGGTTGGCACAGCTGACTTGCTCCTCAATGCCGGACAGCACCACCTCACAGCCTACGCACCACTCCTGCAGGGTTCGGGCAATGGCACTGAGGTCCTGGCGCTGGATGTCCCGCCCAATGCTGTAGTCAACCTCTAGCCGCTGATTGCGCTGATCCAAAGAGCCGCGAAGGACATCGGCATAGACAGCCTCCATCACGAGGTCTTCCAGCTGGCGCACATTCCGAAGGGCAAGGGTCTCCAGCAACACTGCATACGGGATACACTTGACTTTGGCAGCCAGAGTGACAACTGACAGACATCGAAGCTTATTCTTCTGAGCCTTGGTGAGTGGGGGAAGGTTTCTGGCTTCAAAGTAGTCAGCATAGGTCCCATAGGCAAACACTGTGAGCAGCCTGAAGGTGGAGGCAAAGTCGCTTTCTGCCAACTCTCTAACATCGGGCATATCCAGCAGTTCCCCAAACACGTAGACATCAGGGTCCTCCAGCACCTGATGGATGAGTGTGGCCAGCGAGGCCCCCTTAGCCGACTTGGCAAGGAGCAGGAACTGCTCCTGGTTCTGGCCTGTCACCTTCACCTCGGCACTCAAGGCTGCACTGAGGTGCGGGGCTCTGGTCTCGAGCTGTCTGGAGCCTGGGACGCAGTGCGGTCGCTACCTGGAAGCCTCGTCTTCCAGCGCATGGGCAAAAAGTTGTCTAAGCTTTTAATGCCTGGTTTTTTATAATAATGATTGACTATATTAGTCTGCCAAATTTCAGGTTGAATAAAGTAAACTTACTGTTGTAATTATCTTTGAGACAGTGTCTCACTGTGTATCCCTGGCTGGCCTAGAATTTACTATGTAGACCAGGTGGGCCTAAAACTTACAGAGATCTGCCGGCTTCTGCTTCCTGGGGTTAAAGGTATGCACCACCATGTCCAGCCTAAAGTTAAAAATTTTAATGTGTACCTAATTTTTCCCTGTAGTGCCTCTCAGACTCTCATTGTGCTGGTGGACATAATGATTGTCTAAAAGCCCACCCAACGTGTAGCATTTCCTAATCATATCTAAAGAAAGGCTCCCCTTTAAACAGAGAGAACAGCTTGGAGACACTAGTTCTGTGGTTGAGAGAAGAGCATGCTATCAGAGGTACTTTGTGTGGCCGCTTGATTTCAGATCATCTCTTTATACTTTGATTTCTTCACCTGTAGGGATAAGACTTAAGTCTTATACAGTTGTTGGCAAAATAAAGAGATTCATGGAATTCCAAGAAATTTTTATAATATGTAATATTGTGGTAGTTTGAATGTAATTGGCCCCCATAAGCTCATAAGGAGTGGCACTATTAGTGGCTTTGTTGGAAGAAGTGTGTCATTGTGGGAGGCTCAAGTCCAGTGTCACAGTTGACTTTCTGTTACCTGCAAGATGTAGGACTCTCAGCTCCTTCTCCAGCACCATGTCTGCCTGCATGCTGCCATGCTCCCTGCCATGATGATAATGAACTAAACCTCAAGCCACCACCTCAATTAAATATTTTCTAAAAATTGCTGTGGTTGTGGGTGTCTCTTCACAGCAATAGTAACCCTAACTAAGGGCAAATAGGTAATGCTAAAATATGTAATTTTAGGCATTTACTGTAACTAATATTAATGTGTACAAGGGTTGAGTATTTGTCTTTATGGACTGTGCTTTGCAGAGTGCCTGCCTAAATGTCAAGCTGAATTCAAAGTGCTAGCATATGATTCAGTTTTAGAATGACAGGGTCCCAGGTGGGCCTGGTGGTGGGCTTGTAATCCCAGGACTAGAGATGCCAAGGCAGGAAGGTTGTGAGTTCTAGATCAGCTTAAACAAAAACAAAATAGAAAAATAGAATATATGCATCATGAGAGCAGTTGGGGAGTTATTACAGGAGAAGAAAGAGATCAGCAAGAGGGGAAAGGGGGGATGGGGATAGAGGCGAGGAAAGAGAGAGGATAAGATCAAAGCATAATGCACGTGTATACATTTATAGTATATATATGTATATATATATATCTTTATTTATAGATATAAAATGTCACAATGAAATCCATTTCTTTGTATGTCACTGAAAATTAATAAAAAGAAAACAAAACAATAACCAAAGGATGTTAGGAGGCCAGAGAGATCCCTAAGTGGGTAAAAGTGTTTGTCTGGCAAGCTTGATGACCAGTTCCCTTCCAGAAAATAGCCACATAGAAAAGCCCGATTCAATGACCCTGTAGTTACACCTGTACTTCCAGCACTCCTACTGTGAGATGGGAGGGACGATAGGAGAGTCATCCAGAAGCTCCAGGGGCACCTGCCCCGCCCCCTCCAACAACAGAGGATGCTGGTATCTCAAAAGCCTTCCTCTCTACCCCTCCCTTTGTTTCTCTCTAAGTCTATACTACAGCAGCTCTTCTCCAGTCATTGTTAGGTCTCCTAGTATCTCCTTCCAAAAATAAAATAAAATTAAACAAGAAGAAAATTATATTGAACTAATAACCCATGGTTGTCAAAAGACAAAAATTCCAATTTAAAAAACCAAGTTGACTTTTTAATTGTAACTCTAGAATCAGAATCTGATGAACTGGGCAGATAATAGTTTTATAGGTCAAAAATGAGGGGGTGGCTGAGGAATGTAAACCTCACACAAAAACAAATAGGCTGTTAAAAAACACAATTTTAGGTTTATTTTTATTTCATGTGTATGAGTGTTTTGTCTGTGTGTATCCACATCACTTGTGTGTCCACAGAGGCCAGAAGAGGGCGTTCATCCTCTGGAACTGGAGGGACAGGAGGTTGTACGGGACCAGCCATGTAGGGGCTGTGACTTGAACCCAGTTTCTCTGTAAAATAAACAAATGCCCCTAACCACTGAGCTGTCTCTCCAGCCTCCAAAAGGCTATTTTGAAGTTCTTGTGTTGTAAAGGTTACAACAATTATTCTGCCATGTAAAACTGGCTTACTTAGGGATTTGCATAATCTCTCATCTGACTTATTGGAAGGATAACTTTCTTCTCCACAACCTGAGATTTCAGCATGAGTGACTTCCCTTTTGCCCTGATTTGTTGGCCTAATGCACAAACTCAGTCCAAACCAACGGCTTCTTATAAGTTCTCATGTACAAATTCATGCTCCAGCTAAAATTCAGCGGGAAATTAAAATTACCTAAGCAGTACACAGACCTTCTGTAATTTCTAACTGGACTGACAACATAAAAGAAACCCTTATCCTTCCTTTTCTTTTTTTTTCTTAAAGACAGGGTCTCACTATGTAGCTCTGGTGTCACCGTAAACAGGGTCCCATCAGAGCTCTTGATGGAAAGGATTTTCATTCTGCCAATGTGTTATTTTAGACCGAGTTATTGGTTACTATACACAGCTATAGGACGCCACAGCCTAGAAGACACTGAGATCTTTTTGCTGCCTTCCATGACTCTGTACTTACGAGCGGGTCAGCTGAGGAGTGTTTGGTTCTTGGTGTAGGATCAGGAAACACTAGCGTTTTAAATAGAAGCCATATATTTTTCTGGCAAAGGGAAAGTTCACATCTAGTGAAGTGTTTGTTTACAAAATTTTGAAAACATAAACAAAGATTAGCAGAAAACTTTCAAGGGACAAGGTCATAGAAACCAACCCAGGAAACGGCTTTCCCAGCTTCACTGCCAGTCTTCTGCTGGCGTCAAACTTTGCAGCCTTCTAGGAAATTACGGTGAGCTTTAGGACTTGGATAGAGAGCTCTGTCTCGACTTTAGTTACCAGTATGTTCCGCGTAATGCACACCGAAATACGCTTTTCAAAGCACGTCTTGGAATTCGTGCAGATATAGCAACATCAGCAATGGCGACGGGAACAAAGTCCGCAGGACTCGAAACTGAAGCATCCTGTTTTTAAAATAATCGAAAGCGAAAGCGGCCGGCAACTGAGCGCTGCTAGGCGCAGAGGACAGGTTTGTGTGGTCGAGTTGGGGTTCGGTTCTAAGCGCCGGTTTCCACGAGCTGCGCGGTGGAGCAGGTGAGTGCTCCGCCTGTTTGGTCCCCCGCAGTCCGCAGTCCCGGATGCTCCACCCGTCGGGGGCGGCGTCCTCAGCGCGGAGCTCGGGGTCCCGGGGGGGGGGGGGGGGGGGGGGGGGGGGGGGGGGGGGGGCGCTGTGCGGGCCTGACGGTGCTTTGCCCTCCGGGGAAAAGGAAACTTAAAATGAGTGTTCTTAGGAAAATGGATTTCTTAAGAAGACTGTTTTCCCTGGTGGACGTTGAGGTCTGTAGTCATGCCTCACTTTTTCAGAATATGTAGGATTTTTGTTTTGAAAGGAGACGTTAATGGGAGGATATTAAACAAAATTATAGGAGCCACCGGTTTGAGCTAAGACGACTCCTGCACCGGAGGTGCCCAGGCTAACTTGTGTGCCCCTGAAGGGAACTTTTCATGTGTCCTGCCCAACCCAGAGAGAGGGAAAGCCGCGGGTTCCACTGGGCAAGAGAATGAAATCACCTTTGCTTTAATCCCTACAAAAAGCACCTAGGCGGTCACCAACCAGTTTGTTACTCTGTTTCTATCTCCCTGGCCCTGTCTTGCGAAGAATGTAACCTTGACCCAGTCCACTTTCTGTTCCTTCTGACTTGTTCCCCAGCTTTCTTCTCTGTCTGTAAACTCTTAACTGCTGCCAGCAATGAAAATGTGTGTGTGTGTATTCATATTCGTATACATATATTCATGTACACACACACACACACACGTACACACACACACACACACACCAGCTTTCGGTTTACATTGTGCTGTCACAGGCCTGTGCCACCATACCCAAATAGACCACTTACTCTATTTTATTCAACAGTGTCACCTGATTGTATAATTGTAAACGAAACGCAATTCGTTTCTTTTAATTCGGATCTTTTAATTATTGAAAATTTACCCATCTTTTGACATGTTTCTGGTCTATACAACACGGTTATGTTATGTTTCTTTCTTTCTTTATGCTGCCAGGCACTCTGTGTGGCCCACCATGGTGATGTAACTACAGTTAGGAAGATGAGATAATAGTTTTTGTTTTTTTTTTTTAATTTACGGCCATAATAAATTACATGGCCTCTGTGGCTTATACACACATGAATGCATGCACACACTTTTCAGTTTAAAAATATTTATTTTTAGTGTCATTTTAAAATTCAGTGTGCTTGTGTGTGTCTGTGTGTGCCAGGACTGGTCCCCCTGTGAGCTGCCTGATTTGGGTGCTGGGAACTGAGCCTGGGTCTTCTGCTAGATGAACATAGTTAAGTACAGAGCTGCCTTTCCAACCCCACACTTTTCAGGTGTAAGAGTCTGCAGGTCTCACTGGGCAAAGCAAAGGTGCTGGCAGAGAGCTGTCTTCTGTTCTGGAAGCTCTTGAGATGGATGGACCCCGCTATCGATTTCTGGACTCTGCCCCCCTTTACTTGGCTCAGTATTCCATCCTCTTCTTCAAAGTCAGCACCAGCACTGTTCCTCTGATCATGTTTCTGCCTCATCTCTCAGTCTAGCTCTTGTGGTGTCTCCTCTGTAACTCTAAAGGACCTTCTGGGTTATGTGGAGTATTCATGCACAATGCTGGACGATGTCCATATTTTATTTATTTATTCATTTTTGTGTGTGTGCATGTGCGTACATGTCTGAGCATGTGCCTGTGGAGGTGGGAGGTGGTAATCTGGTATCATCTTTTACCTTGCTCCACCTTAATTTCTGAGTCAGGGTCCCTCACTGGACCTGCAACTCACTGATTGGCCAGATTGGCTGAGCAGCACATTTTAGGACAACATCACACCTTGTTTTCTATGTGGGAACCGAAGATTGGAAGTACCAGTGCTTACCCAGCAGGCACTTACCCCCTCTCCATATTTAAAAGACAGATAATCAGCATCCTGAATTCAGTTTGCAGCCTTAAGTCTCCCCTGAAGTGTACTGTAATGTTTTCACAAATTCTTAGGATACTAGAACATGGACATCTTTGAGAGGGTCACTTTTCTGCTTAATGTAAGATTGCTTGAAAGGGAAAAATTACCATACAATCCTCACAGTGTGAAAGGGAAAAAATATTCAGATGATAAAAGAGATTCTGGGGGTGTTATGCAATAGACCACGGACAGCCAGAGTTTTTAAGAATATTGTTTTGGGGCCTGGAGAGATGGCTCAGCAGTTCAGGGCACTGGCTGTTCTTCCAGAGGACCTGAGTTCAATTCCCAGCAAGTACAAGGTGACTCACAACCAACTATGATGAGATCTGGTGCCCTCTTCTGACCTGCAGGAATACATGCAGACAGAACACTGTATACATAATAAATAAATAAATCTTAAAAAAAGAATATTGTTTTAACAATAGTATTAAAAACAACTAAACTTAATTTCGTAAGAAATGTAATAAGAGGAATATATATATATATATATGGTCCTGGGCAGAAAAAATACCCACTATAAAACACACAATGTACCATGCACAGTTCTGGGTTACACAGGTTTCTGGGATGGATACAAGGAGGAGTGCCTGTGTACCCAGTCTTTATACATTTATTAACTGATTTCTCATAGAAAATGACACATATAATTAAAGTGCCTCATAAGCGATAAAGAACTAATGTCCTCTGGGGAGGTCAGAAAAAGCTTCAAGAACCTTGGGGATGTTTGCTGTGACCCTTGAAGAATTGAAGGATTTCATTTGGTGGAGTTTGAGGCACTGAAGGCTCCTTCAAGAGATCCTTGAACTGAGTTAAGGATCTGCTTAAATAAGGATTAGTGTTAAGTTTTGGTTAGACTGCTACATCTTGGATGCATGTATATGTCTGTATAATTTTACGCAGTGTATCTCAAACAAACTCAAATTTATAGAAAAGTTGCAAGTAATATAAAATGATCTTCCTTCTCTGGGTTATTTGAAAGTAAAATTTCAACCTGATGACCTGTGACCCTGGAATGCTTGAGTGGCTAGTTCTTACTAAAAGGGTGGTGGGTGGGGAGTTCCTGTTTGACCACAGCACAGTCTGAAAAATCAAGAAATTAATTGTGATATTCACTATCTTCTAATCATTTAAACTTTTATCTCTATATGAGAATCATAGACTGCATTTAGTTATGTTTCTGTAGTTTCCTTCAATTTGGAAATTTCCCCATCTTTCTTGAAAAAAAACTCACTTAAAAAAGAAGAGGAGGAGGAAGAAGAAGAAGAAGAAGAAGAAGAAGAAGAAGAAGAAGAAGAAGAAGAAGAAGAAGAAGAAGAAGAAGAAGAAGAAGAAAACAGGGAAATTATAGCCTAGATTGCATCTGGCATTGAGTTCGTCTGTTGTGTCCTCTCGCTTAGATTCAGATTGTGTAGTTTTGGTCATGCCAGGTTTTCGGCCTGTCCTATCAGGAGCTACAGGATTTTGATTTAGCCTATCATTTATTTTGATTATCATTTTGGTCACTTCTGCCAGGTTTCTCCACCGTGAAACTACTCTTCTTTAAAATTTATTTTGAATGTGTTTTTGCTTCACATGCAAAGAAATGGGTTTCACGATGACATTTCCGTACATGTGCTACTGTACTTTATTTTTATTTGCTCTCTCACTGTCCTCGTGGTCCCCTCTTGCCGATTCCTCCCTTCCTCAAATACTGCCCCCTTCTGTTTTCATAACACATACACGTATCCATGTTCTCTCTATATATAAACATATTCCATGCCCTCTTCCTGTGGCCTCCTCTGCCCTCCCTTTAGACCACTTCCTTCTCTCATGGTCCCTTGTCTATTTTTTAAAAATCATCTCATGCGTATAGATGTTTTGCCTGTATGTATGTCTGTACACCACACACGTGCCTCGTGATGCCTCCTGCATTTTCCTTTCATTGCATTGGCTATTTGGGGCCTTTAACGCTTGCATAAATGCTGGGAATTTTGTTTTGGTTTTGGTCTGTGAAGAATGTCAGTGGAATTCTGGTGAAAATTTGCATTGAATCTGGGGATAGCATAATCATTTCCACAGTATTAGCTCTGCCAATCTATGAGCATGAGATGTCTTTCCATATTCAAATATCTCACTCATCTTTTTATTCAGTATTTCAAAGTTTTCGTTGTACTTAATTGGATTTATTCCTAGGTATTTTGAATTTATTTTTTTAACTGCTGTCTCCCCCTCCCCTCTCCCTTAGCAAATTTGTCATTGGTATACAGAAAAGCTGAATTTTTAAAAATGTGTGTTTTAAGATAGGGTCTTGCTGTGTAGCCCTGGCTAATCTAGAACCCTCTATATAGAGTAGGCTGGCCTCCAACTCCTGGAGATCCTCCTTGCCTCTCCTTCTGGAGTGCTGGGATTAAAGGTACACACTCCTGCCAAGCTACTGATGTTTGTATCCTGAGATTTTGCTAAAGTCAGATGGAGGAGCTTTCCGGTGGAGTCTTCTGGTTGTGTTTAATAAGGAATCATGTTATGTGCAGCTAAGGATACTCTGACTTCTGCCTTTCATATCTGCATCCCTTTGTCTTTAGCACGTTCCAGCACTGTACTAAATAGGAACAGAGAGAGTGGGCATCCTTGTTTGGTTCCAGATTTTTGAGGAAACACCTTCAGTTCTTCTCCATTTAATATAACATTGGCTGTAGGTTTATTGCACATAATCACTATATGCTGAGGCATATTCCTTCTGTTACCAGATTCTTTAGGCCTTATGATGACGTTGAATTAGATGGTCATATGATTTCTGACTGTACATTCTTATATGACGTGTCAAGTTCATTGGTTTATATATGTTGAGCTAATGAAACTAAGTTGTCATGATATGTGATGTTAATGTGCTCTTGAATTTGGTTTGCAAGTACTTTTTTGAGAATTTTTGCATATATGTTCACTAGAGATATTGGTCATCGATCTATAGATTTCTTTCTTTTATTTTCTGTGTTTCCCCTATCCAGTTTTGGTATCAGGGTGATGCTGGCTTTATGAAATGACTTGTTAATTCCTACCCCCTTTTTTCTTTTTCTGCAGCACAGTTTTGGGGAAAACCCTGTTTGTATCCCCCATGTATTATACTTGCTTCATCATTTTCCTATATGGGTCTCTGGGAACCCGGAGCTCTTCACTTGGGGCATTTTTTTTCCTTGTCATATTTTTAAAGATACTTTTAAATTGTCGGTCACCTCAAGATATTCCAGGCTCATCTTGTGTATTTCCTGTCCCACACTTAGAGTCAGCCATTGCTTCTTCGTTCTTTTTATTGGAGAACAGAGTTAGAATCCTCTGGATGTGCCATGGCCCTGTTTGTCTGACATCCTTTTGGGTAAACTAAGGCATGACTAGTTTTTTTTAGTTGAAAATAGATGTGTTTGTTTCTCTTACAAGAATGCTGAGACTTTAACCTCTCAAAGTCTTTGAAAAGTGTATCACATGCAGGTTACTAATGTGCATCAAAAGCTCTTTTGATCCGGGAATCTTCCTTTTTAACTAATTGCTTCTTCACCATTTTTGGGGGCGTTTGACTCCCTTTTGCCGGACGGGTGAACCTTATGGAGTTTCCTTTAAATGTTGTTTTGTGAGTGAATAAACATATAGATATTTAGAATTACAAAGAAAACCAATTATACTGAAATATGTATGCCAGGATTAATACTTAAGCAAATTTTTAAATTCATCTTTATTACATGTTTTTATTTATTTTATGGTGTGTGTGTGTGTGTGTGTGTGTGTGTGTGTGTGTGTGTGTGTTTGTGTATGTGTGTGTTGTTAATCCTGAGATTTGAGAGGGAAAAACCAGTTCTACAATTTTGAGCCAAATTAGAAGCAAGCTTAATTAAGTACTGACCAGAAAAAGGACTCTGGTCAGGTCTACCTCTGGGTTTCCAGCCACAGGACATGTGTTGTAGGAGCTTTTTAAGGACAAACCCAAAAGGCCACCTTGTTTCCCTTTTGGCTGTATTTCCCATTTGGCTTTGTTATTTTCCAAGAACTACAACTCCCAGCATTCTGGGGAGTTACCTGGTCCTTGGGCAGGTGGGGCTCACAGATTGACTCCTCTCCTCTCCTCCCCTCTCTTCTCCCCCTCCCCCATCGTGTGTGTGTGTGTGTGTGTGTGTGTGTGTGTGTAAACAAAGCTATGCAATAGATGCAGAGGTCAGGTCAAAGGACACCGTGTGTAAGTCAGTTCTTTTCTTCCACCTTGTGGGTTCCAGAGATGGAGCTCAGGTTGCCGGGCTTGGTCGCAAGTGTCTATCCTCTAAGCCATCTTTCTAGCCTCAAAACATTAATATATTAATATGTATCACTATACAGTAATGTAGCATGAAATCTAGCAGTGAGTTTAATAGCTCCTATAGAAATTGGGTTAAAAACAACATTTCAGCATATCTACAATGACTTGGTCTACTAAAACATCTACTAAAACTGATGACTCTGTCTCAGGTGCTATGAGTGTTATGGTAGTTATCTGTTTTTCTAATTGAGGAGAATGCCAAGTTTCCGCTAGAGCATTAGTAAAAGGCATGGACTTTTTCCCATCCAAGTTTACAGAG